GAAATGCAAAATCGGAAAGCCAATTCTCATCATTCCACTTTGGGAAATCTATTGCTCTCTGTTTCATGTCCAAAAATAAGCCAATCTCTTCTTTCAGTTCCCAAACTCTTTTCAGGATTTTTTCCAAACTAAGCCACCTCAACATTTGTGTGATACAGAACACCCGTATGATCAGATTCCAAGTCTTTAAGCGGGGTTTTAAACTGTCTATGATTTAATCTTCTTGCTCGAATGTAATTAACCACTTACACCTGTGTCCACGACATGGCTGAAATTTAAAACACACTTACAAAGGACTTCTTGATGAATAATGCAGAGTAGAAAGACAATATTTTGTTCTGCATTTGTTTCTCTGACTTGAACATGAATTTTTTTCAGCAATCCAACATTTTTACCTGTCAGATTTGGCTGTCCATCAGTAGTCACAATTACCTTTTTTTTTCCACTAAGTCTTCTCCAGTTGTTGTTCCTTTCAGTGGCTGCATTGATGCCAATTCTTCTGTGCTCTCAAAATTTTTGGTGTTGCCTCGAATGAAAATTTACAACTGCGCTGTGTCTGACATGACAACTTTCATCAAGTGCCAGAGTATAGTAATCAAAAGTCCTTACTTTCACTTTAAACTGCGGATACATGTTCTCAGCGATGTCCTCTACACGTCAAACAATTGCTCACCTTGACAAACTTACTTTATCAAACTGGTTTTTCTTGTCTGGACATCAAATAGAGGCAGAATCAACCATACATTCCTTTATAAATCCTCCTTCAGAGAATGGCTTGCTGTTTTGAGCAACTTTGTGAGCAATTGCATAACTCACTCTTGTAATATCATCCTGGGATGCAAATTGTTTTTTGTTTTTTGTTTTTTTAAATACTTTTCTGCTGTAATTTAGCAACCATCTCGTTAGCTTTCTTCCTCTTTTCTTCTTCAGAATTTTTTTTATATTTAACAACTTTTCTTTGTTTCTTCAGGTCATAAATGATGGTCGTTCCGACTCCAAACTCCTCCACGAGTCAACTCGCACTCAGACCACAGTCAAGTTTTTACAATAACTAAATTTTTTGTGCTATGGTTAAGCATAAATGCCTTTTTTTTTTTTCTCCATTGTTACCCATAGGGGTTCCTGTGGGTCTTTCCGACATTTTCAACTGCATATTCACGCAACAAACCGCAGAAAAAGCACAAAAATCACTGAGTAATGTGCGGACATCTGTGAAAAGTACAGAACAACAATTGATGCCAACAGCCACCACCCTGACCCAGTTAGGGTAGATTAGGTCACACTTGTAACCCGTCGTGGAGCGTTGGGACTCGCGCATCGCCCGGGAACTTATTAAAAGCCTTGTGGAATTATTTTAATCTTCCACTGCAGGTGCTCCCAAAAAAACTTACAGATTTCGGAGGTTTTCGGTTTTTAGAATTTCTGATAGGGGATTCTCAACCTGTATTATTATTATTTCATTTTGGTGCTGGCTAGTTGAATCTGCTGATTGCCTGGATACTGAATAACCGGGAACTTAATGTAATTTTACTTTTGTGCAAGGATTTAAAAAAGTTTACTGTAATTGGAACTTAATAAGTGATATTGTTCACATCAGTTTAGCAAAATAACTAAGTCTAATCAGATGGCAATGACAACTGAAAAGAAACCTGATCTATGCTGGTTCAGAATCTTCTCACAATCGTATGTGTTGCCAATTTGTGTTGTTAGGCTTTTCTTATCACAGATAAAGCCCTCTCACACTTAAGTCTGATACTAATCTATTAATTACTCATGCCTCTAAGGATCTTAGTTTATTTTTCAGCACGTGTCTTAAATTTTTTTGTGTTGAAGAATAGTATAAGCTGGATTGGTAATCAAAAAAGGTGAAATATTCATGACTGCCCTAAAAAGAAAAGAAAAAAATGTTAAACCTCAGGAAGGGGAGGGAGCATGAAGTGAGTGAAAGACTAAAGTTATAGAAACAAAACAGATATGGAGAAAATATAATTCAGTTACTGGAGACCGGACCACCACATATTCCTACAGCATCATTTTGACATCTCAGTAGAAAAAAAGAACTGCCTTTATTTTACTTCTTGTATGGCAGTCCATTCATGGATAATTGATTTTGTTTTATTTACTCTCACCCTAATAAGGCATAATTTTAACCATTTCTATTTTATTTTCTTTCAGGTTACAGATGATGGAAGACCATGGTTAGATTTGGCACATGTAATAGCAGTGTTAAATAAATTGGATGCTGGTTCCCCAGACAAGGTAAGTGTTTTGTTAACAGATTTTAACCACATATCCAACTCAGGTTTTGTTATTAGAGAGCATTATTATTCTGTTGTGTGGATAAATACAGGAACCATTTTCTGAACCAGTAAATTATTGTACCGTACTGTATATACAAAAGTGGGTTGGCATTAGGAAAGGCATCAAGGAGTAAAATTTGCTTCCAGTTTGCTTGATGGCAATGAGGACACCATGCTGTCAGGGATGGGTAATCATGCCTAACCCATTCAAGCATGGAAAATAATGTAGCAGTAAAACAGCGATGATAATGTATTGATCAGTACTATGTATATCTACTCCTTAACTTTGTTTATGATATGGCTCCTCAGACGGTGCAATAAGTTATATAGTAAATGGGTTTACAAAAGAGTAAAATGTTTATTGTAAATAAATATACAGTTAACCCTCACTTTACGCGGTTAATGTAACCCGGAGGGTCCCGCGTAAAGTGAGAAACGCGTAAAGTGAATAACATAACATATGGGATTAATTGAAATGGAGTCCGGGCCGATCCCCAAACTCCACTTTTTGACGACACACAACTATGTTGTAGTAAAAATATTATCTTAACTTTATGATGGTATGCACACACAATTAATAATTAAGAGAAATATCAATAATATTAGGTTTTTTAACACTTACATTAGTAGAAAAAATGGCTGGGCACACGGGGATGGGCGGTTGGTTCCGAGGCAGAGGGCAGATTATTGGCCCTCACCTGTGTCACTTGTATCAATTGTATCACTATCCACCACAGAGGCTTGCAGGGCCTCTTTGTCAAACTCCCCAAAGTCCATATAAGTCCATATCCTCACCATAATTATCACTATCACTGACTTGGGCCGGCTGTGGTGGGTGGCGGGTGAAGAACTGGTAATGTTTTGATGACTGGGCGACCTTGTGCGCACCATGTTCGCGCAGCTTACACAACATGGCGGATGGCGGGAGGTTTGGATCCAAAAATGGCGCAGCTCACCAGCCGCTCTCCGCGTAAAAGGGTACACGCACCGCGGAATGTGAGCATCCTGGGTTCCGGCAGGGCACCGCGTAAACGTGGAAACGCGGAATGTGGGACCGCGTAAAGTGAGGGTTAACTGTATACAGCTCCAGTGATTCTAGAATTGGAGACCGTTAGCATTGTATATTCAACAGGTAGTTCTCCTAAAACAGTGCTATTCAACCTTTTTTGATGTCGTCCACCCCTAGTAATGAAACTTAAAAAGCCATCTACCCCAAGTGGTAATTTTTTATCTATTTATTTATTTTTTATTATTATTTTTTTTGTGCTAAAATAGAGAAAGAAAAAAACAGCAGTTTCACTTGTATTTATTTAACATTTTATATTGTAATCTAATTTAATATATATTTTCCACTCAGAGCACAATTACTTTTATTAAATTAATTAAAGGAAAATAATAAATTAAAGAATCATAGGTATAATTCTCAACCTATAGTGCAAAAAGGACCAATTTCCAAAATACAGTGGGGTATGCTATAACGAATCTAATTGGTTCTAGAACCTTGTTCGTTATAGCATTCGTTCGTTATAGGATTAATCCGTTCCAGGCCCCCAAATACAACCACTTAACACTGAAAAATATACAATAAAATTGTAAAAATTGTAAAAAAGTGCATAAATTTGCATCTAAACCCCTGAAATAAAGAATATCATTAATATTTGTAATAAAAAAACAATAAATTAGTAAAAAAAAAAAAAAAAAAATTATTTTTTTTAAATAATGTTCGTTGTAGGAGTTTCGTTCGTTATAGCATTCTCAATTTTATAGGTAAAACCGTTCGTTATAGGAATATTCGTAGTAGGATCCGTTCGTTATAGCATACCCCACTGTAGCCAATTTTGACTTTGGTCCATGCAACATTACCGTAAGTGAAATACTTTTTAGTGCAGTAAGAGCCAGTCTCTATCTCCATTGGTTTTATGAGTAGTAAAGGTGCCATGGGCAAATGTCATACCAAAGCTTTACTTTTGTGAGAGCAAGAAGGGCAAATCTTATTAACAAAGGAAGGTTAAGGCAGATTTCACAGGTTCACGGTACAATCTGAACAAAATATACAAGCACCTCATGGATCTCCTCATTTATAGATCAGAAGGCAGCCAACTCTTCTACAAAACCTTAAAGACAGATGACTCAGAGTGATGGTGATAATTACGATGAACCACGGGAGATAGAGATTCAAGATGATGTCTTGTAGTTAATGGAAGCTCTTTAGTGCTGAAATATCAAAGGTTATTGAGTATTTTATGTTTTAACTTCTTAATTTATTTATTTATTTTTTTATGAAAATATCAAATTTGTTTCCATTTCTTACATTATGAATACTTACAACATTCAAGAACATTATCATTGTTACAGAGTATTAGTTGCAAAAATGGCCAATGTGTACTGTTGTACCCTAAACTGCATCTCGCCTTGCTGCAAAAAAAGCCAAAGTCATTTAAATGATACTCATACAGCACTTCCCGTTTGTACTTGGGACCTCCAATTAACACACAATTCTCAACTAGTGTGGCTTCCAACTGCATTTGTTTTGTAAACATTTATCTAAAGGCTGATTTTATAATAGAGATTGAAATCTTCCTTTGCCTTCTTAAAAAATTTGATTTTTTTTCTTTGGCTAGAGAATTATGAATTTTGGGGGGATTCAGTGGCTTGGCTGCTTCTGTACTTTGTCTGCTATCAGCTGAAATTTTGGCATTGGGCGACTTTCGAGTGTGCCCAGCAGGAGGGGATCCACATTTGAAATAACGTTCCTTTTCTTTGATTTGATTAAAACTAAAGCTGAGAAGCCTTGTTCACAGATATGATGTTGGCATCTGCACGAACATGGTCATCGCCTGATTGGCAAACTCCCTGTTTTCTGGAATATCCAGCAGTGTAACCCAGATATCCATGGTGTATGCTAATGTCTTGAAGGCTGTTTTTTGAGCGTAATCTGTCTGGAGCTCTAATAGAGCTTCAGAATGGTCAACCCCATCATCAGCAAATGGATTAAGAACCCACATGTTGGAGTTCAGGTGTTTGCTCTCACTCTGGGAAATACACATTGAGGTTTTCCTGAATCAAGGTAAAGTGATTGACAACCAGGCGGGACATTCGCATCTCCAATGTCTCCTCTTCTGCTGCCTGCACCCCGTGTTCCCAGCCACATTCTCATAAAGTTATCAAAAGTCGAGAAATCAGAGAAATAGTACTTTTCTAATTAGGCTCTTCGCTTTAGCACCTTCAGTTTGAATCCATTTAATTTTACCATTGCTGTGAAAATATCCTGACCTTTGGCTTGGGTACTGAAGTTGATTTTGTTCAAATGATCAAGAACTAAGACCATATATGACAACTTTGCCAGTCAAAAGTTATCCTGATCTTTAACTGCCATGGGGTTTGGTTCCTCTGAAGAAAACACACAACTGTTCTCTCAGTGTAAGCACTCTGTTCAGAACCTTTCCCCGAGATAACCACCTTACCTCAGCATGAAAGAGCAGTTTGGTGAAGCTAGCTTCCATATCTTTGCGCAACTCACCGAACATTCTGTGCTTTTTTGTATAGGTCTGGATACAGTAATTCATAATTCACACGTGTCGCCATCCTTTCAAATCTTGTCCACCCCTCCATCCACCCCAAACAAAATCTCATCCACCCTTGGGTGGACCGTCCACCCAGGTTGAATAGCACTGTCCTAAAATATAATTGATTGATTGATTGATTGATTGGGTAAGATAAACACACACACACACACACACACACAAGAGAAGAGAAGGGGTAATGCATGAACAAGAGAGGGTGGTACGAAATCAAATTATGAAGGTGTGATATTTATAGCTGTGGGTTTTGAAGGCGTTAATAAATAACTTTAAGAAAAACAACTAATACAGTACAGTACCTTCATGATGATACACTTTGTTTTATCTGTAATTTAAAGAATACAGTTAATCATTACCAGTATAATAAAACAAATTCTTGTATGAAGATCTTCATATGTATATATTGGAATGTTACAGATATGTCTAATGTCCCATGATGAGCAGAACATACTGGTTACATCATACGCAGAACTGAAGCGGTGCTTTGAGAGGTCTTTTGCTGAACTACTTCAAGCTGCCTCATCTCACAAGACCACAATGTCCTAGCAATGTCTTATTTGCTTGTGGTTGCTTCCCCATTCACTGTTGCATTAGAAGTGAAGGGGATCAATTAATATTTCATCTGTTGTTATGGTTTGGAGATACCAAGCCTTATACAAGCTACCACTGGACACACAATAAGTATGCAGTTGTGAACATGGTAAGCTTAGTGATCATGGTCCTTGGACCACTCGCCCAATATTGGTCTCTCCATTAGAGGCATTATATTGAAATTTCAATAATACTGTCCAATTTTCATAATCACAGATGATGTCATGTGAATTCCAGTTACTGTGTTTCACCAGGAAGGTAAGCCACCCATCATCTTCACCATGTCACTTCACCAAGTTTAAGGTTCTGGTATGTTGTTCATCTTGTGATGGATGAACAAGTTGGTTTGTAGTATCTACAAGTGACACATGATGATTCCTGTTAGTGGAGTATCTGTTTTTAAAAAAAAAATGTTAACATGTACACCACAGTGGTGTCAGGTTACCACAGGTAATTAAACTCTTGTTAATTTGGCTTTTAGTTATTGGCAGCTGATTTCACCTAGAGAAGTTCTGCATATAAACAAGTACGTACGATACTAATAGTAAAAGCTAAGAAATATAGATTAAACACGTTTAACATAAAAGGCAAAATAATTTGTAAATAGGTGGTATATCAGCAAAAGGAGAAGGGGGATAGTTGGGATATATTATTATGATTATTGGTGAGATGAGTTTACCTACAATATTTTTAATACACATAAGCCTCAGTGTCAATGAGTCATATTCATTTGAGTATGTCTGAGATTGCTGTTTTTATGTAAGAAATCATTTAGTATTTAAAAGAACCAAGCGATTGAAAAATACTTAATTGTTTTTATGAAAAGTGGGGGAAATGTTTGAAAAAACTGTGAAGTAGATAATGCCAGTTGAAAAGCAAAAGAATTGATGTTTGCATTTTCTGTGATAGGTGTGGACCTGGACTGCCTACAGTGGCAAATATTTCCGATCAAAACGACACTCTCTACTCTTGTGTTTTATTTATTGTGTCAGACTTTTATAATGAGATACAGTGATATGATGCATCTCTTCAGTGAAATTTACTTCACTTACACTTGACTTTGATCCTCAGTACTGTGATTAATTTTGCAATATTGAATAAGCAATAGCTTGACTTTGTATTGTACTAAAATATACAGGGATTACATACACCAACTTCTGTGAAGTGAAAGATTTTACTGAATATTATCAGTAAGAAGTTATTGGTAACTGAGTAGCACAAAATCAGTGTACAGTACCGTACAGGTACTTACAAAATTGTTAAGAAAGTAATTGAAGATAAGAGTAATATAAGAAAACATTATATCACCCCAATTGTATCAGATGGTAACTTTAGACTATATTTTATATTGTTAGGTATTAAAGAGTATTACAGTATTTATTTTTGTGAGGCATAGTGAATGCTCGACAGGGTTTTAGTCAGGTCTTGGTGTGGTTATCTGTGACTTGGACTTATTTTTCACTTTAAAACAAAAGTTCTCATTTACTGATATCAGCTTTTCAAGAAAATTTTTATTGATTTATTTTTCACATTTCTAGTTGCTGTATGTGGAACCATTAATATTCTATTATACTTAACATTTTTATGAATTTTAATCATATTGGTTTTCCATTCTTTATGATTTATCCAAAAGAAAAGTTTCCCTTGAATATTACAGGAGTGAATGGTATTATTAAAGAGATCTGTCTGTCTATGAATGTGCATATATCTCCATATATTAAGTACAGTATGTATTTCCTTGTAGGATGCAGCATGGAATTATCATACACCTGACAACCAACTTTATACACACTTTATTACGTCTAATTAGGTTACTTCACTGCAGCCTTAACCCTTTGAGTGCATAATTTAATTTTGGGCTGGTTCCCTTTGGAGTGTGAATTATTCATCAAAAAATGAAATTAGCATTAAAAAAAATTTCACAACTTTTTCAATATCAGATGAGGGTCTGTTTTCTACCTCTTGCACAAAAATTACCCGATAGTTTTTGTGTTTTCGGAAATCTCATAATTTCCGTAAAAATTTATTAAATTCGTCATCCCGTAAAATGTACATAATAGGATTGAAAGAAGTCCATACACAGCTAATGTACTTGTTTTTTATAAAACACCTTTTAAACATTTGCATTTATTTTCTCTAAATAAAAATTTATCCTTGTACAAAATACTGAAAGCTAAAGAGCTAATTATTGCAGATTTTTCTCCACATTATGAGTAACTATTAATTTTGCAATTATGACTTGGAAGAAAAAAATATGGCAACGTGATCATCATAGACAGGTATTTTATCTAATATAGTACCAAAAATAAGTAAATGAATAAAATAATAAATAAAAAACATAAGAACCTCTGACAATGATTGATAATCAATAATAACTTAATAAAATTCATACATCACGAACTGACTCATCAATCAAGAAAATAATGCACATAAAAAACACACAAGAGTTAAATGGTGTCATCAGGGTTAAAGGGACCACGTGTGTCACGCAGCAGCTGATTTCAAGGTCACTCGAGCTGTTCGCTTCTTCCCACCTTTTCAATGCTACTGCATTCTTAACAGATTTATAAATGAATATAAAACTTGCATATTAGTATCCGAGGGATAATATTCCATAAGTAAATAAAAGAATTAAAATTCAAACCCCATAAATGCAAATAGTAAACAAAACATGTGAGTGATAAATGAAACACACGAGTATTCTGATTTTTCTTGTCACCTCAGAAGTAAAGATTTAGCTTATATGTGTTAGTATATCAAGTGATAAATACTGTACTAATGAATACGTGTGTGAAGTATAATAAATTAAACCATCAGTACATTAAGAGAATTATAGCGCTACTTTCCATGTGGGGTGTCAGCTGATGAACATGTAAACAATGAGCTGTAGTAGTGTTTCTATCGCATAGCAGCACACATCCAACTGAGGCACCGATTTTGAAAACGAGAAGATATTCCTACTCTTTGTACTGTGGGGAAAAGTTTTTCTGATGCCATGGAGTAAATCCGCTTTTCACTCAGTGGTAATAAATATTCGGGAGGATATATCCACTTATTGCACTCAAAGGGTTAAAAGCCTCAGGATACATGTAACACTATCTTGAAAAAATCAGGACACAGATTGCTTGTATTTTATTAGTATTGGGCAAGTACAGTATTGTAGTCAAGAATGATGGTTCTCTTTGATATACTGCACATGTATAGGCGAGCAGAAAATTTGAAAGAATATGCCAACAATGCAGGTACCCCTCTTATACTACATTTTATTTTTATATGCCAATCCTATGGCCATACATTTGTTTAGAAATTCTGAGAAATACAAAGAATCATAACATTGAATTTAAAAAGTTAACTAATATGTTATCCTACAAAAGGGGGAGGGGACAGAATCGTATTGTCCAGTAAAACACTCCAAAAGGTGGCTGTTATCTGGGGATCCTGTACAGATATTGCCATGATCTGCACATTTTTGTTCATTGTAAGAAGCCTAAATGTGTAGATACCACCCATGAAATGTTCTTTACTCACCATGAGCTATGTGAATATGTATTTTGGATAATATATATATATATATATATATATATATATATATATATATATATATATATATATATATATATATATATATATATATATATATATATATATATATATATATATATATATATATATATATTAGTTGATAAACCACCTGATGCTTAAGTGCAACAAACTTTCTTGCTGGGGAATGCTGTAATGTTCAAGAATTAGAAAATATATATGGTACTGTACTGTAATAGAGCATTGATGAACAGAACATACATAGATTTCCACTTCATGTATTTTAAGTCACGTGGTACATTCAAGAGAAGGGAACTCCACTAAGATTCTGTTTTATAGTAACTGAATTTTTCTTGTTATGGAGTGGGAGTTTTACAATATTTAGTTAGGGGATAAACCTTCACCCAGCTCATCATTATAATATAGAACTTTGGGGGTATCTTGAACACACACACACACAGCTATTTAGAAACAAAATTATGGTAGTAGGTGTAATAATTGAATAAATTGTGGTATAATTAGGCATTCGGAAATGAAGAGGGTGAAAAATGCCTGTCCTTATTTCAGATCTTTAAAACATTAGTGGTTAGCTCCAGTCCCTTAATTTTTTTTTTTATTTATCATTCATACATATTAATGTGGTCATATCCCATTTTGACAGTGTGTGTTGTCATCTGTCTACTTTTCTTTACATATATTGTCTGACTTTAATTCCTTAATTAATTATTTTCAAATATTATGAAAAGATTATTAAATTACAGTACAAGTCAATTGCAATATTGCTCAGCATCAAACAAGGTCAAGGTCAGCAGTCATCAATGAAGGTCATCCTATTCTAGAAAGTATCCACAAATGTCAACTTCCTACTTAAATTTTCATAGATGAAAGAGTCCTTTGTCTTGCAATCTCTCCTTTCCTGATCTTATTCCACTGACTGTCTAAGGTAAATAACATTTGAATTTACCATGCTAAAGCATCAACAGTTGCTAACTAATGTTAACCAAATACTCCTATCTGGTTGGCTTAGGCATAGAATAGGCGCTCCACTTTTTGGTCAACAGTGGGTAAAGGTCAAAGGTCCCTGTCAAGTATATTATATGATGCTTTAAAAGGCAGAGCTTTTAATTTTGTAGTATTAATGTTGGTGCTGTGTATGAAATGGATGAAAACTTGGATAAATACTGTTTTAAAGGATTGTTTAGAAAAAGAAGAAGATAACCATTAGACAACTTTCTAGGCACTCAGTGTGATGTCAACTCTGGAAATCCTTAATAATTCACATTGAAACCAAGAAAATTATATATATATATATATATATATATATATATATATATATATATATATATATATATATATATATATATATATATATATATATATATATATATATATATATATATATATATATATATATATATATATATATATATATATATATAAATTTTTTTTTTTTTTATTCCATTTCAGTAAGCTCAGTATTCATTGATTAATTTTGGTAAAATAATGTTGGGATCATAATTTTTTTTTTTTTTTTTTTTTTTTTCCTGATCATCTGCAGTCCATCTAAAACAGTACTTGTGCAATGCCACAAATTTGAAATACCTGTACTTTAAGACCAGAAACCTTCTGCACTTGTGTGTATGTAAGTGACATATACTATACAGTGAAAGAATGAAATATCTTCACAGCTTTGGCTGTAGGATAATGAAACCTGACTACCCAACACAGTGTATGGTGTCACTGGCGATCTGGTTCCACAGGCCGGCCAGCTCTTTATGGGCTCCACACATTCATGTGTCGAATGGCTCAACCATTTTGCAATGTATTCGTCAAAGCCCTGGGAAGATACTTCATTGTCTCACTACATGAGTGTGGGGTGTGTATGTGAGTGTGAGATGTATATATGAGTAAGGAATGTACTGTATATCAGTGGAATGCGTATGCCAGCAGAAGACATGTACATTATGTCAATGTTGGATGTGTAGGAGTGTGGGGGAGGTGTGTTGTGTGATATGACATGCAGTTGGACAAGTGAGGATTGTGTAGCATTAGTGATGGCCCCTGACACACTGTGTTTGGCCAAGCCAGGTGAATGTGGTTCAGCTCATCCCATTGTTTGGAAGTTGTGCTGGTGGTATTTGCTCCTTTCAAGTTGCCAAGAAATCTATTGGAAACATGCACTGGGCATTTTTTACCTTACTTTAAATTGCCATACTAAAATGGAACTGAAAATTAGAAAAGTAAACTCCACATATTTATCAGGGAGTGGAACAGCTGACTTGTTTTGGTAGACTCTTCCTCACCTGTTATAGTACTGCCAGATATCCCAGCCTCACATTACTGACCCCTCACATTGTCTAGGCATAACAGTAGATGCATTTCAGACTTAAGTATTTAGTATTCGACTCACACCCTAACTTCAGAGGTGTCTTACAACATAAGTTCATACTTAGTTTTATCAATTTTATTAGTATTTAATGTTGTAATGTGTATTATATTTTTAATAAGGTGTGGTTCTCCAAAATTATCAAATATGGGGAAAAAAAATCAAGTTATGTTGATCAGTCTTGCATGAATTTACCTATGCATGGGTCACCAAGGAATAATGGTGTTAGCCTGAGGCATATAGTACACGCCTTGTGACAAATCATATGTTACTGATGAGGTCTTGGCATCACATCCCAGGGCAAAGTCCCCTGGTCCTGCAGTAACCAAAGCACTTATTATTCAAAACTTTAACATCATAACATTATTTGAATAGCCTTTTTCAATTTAGGTTCTCACTATATTATGATAACTATTACAATCCAGGGATGGCACTTACATTTTTACTTGGGGGATATCACATACTTGACCAAACGGCAGTTGGTTTTTCCTTCAGGTTCATTTAATAAACTACAGTGTAGTATTTTGTTCATCTTGTCCTTTAATCTCCTTGGCCTTCCCCCTCTTTTCCTAATATTTTTCTCTGAGGTATATACCATGTTTACAATCTTTCACTTGCTGTTGTCTCAGCATATCCATATTGTTGTAGTTAACTGTGGGTACACTCGGTTTGAAATTTCTTCCATTTACATATCTTCATTTGATGTATGTATCTCTAATTCTCTTCACCCTGTTTACTTCTCGTAATCCCCTCTAGCAATTTTAATCTTTTTTTTAACTTTTGCTTCTTCCATTTTCCATTTATAGTTTGTTTCACTCGTCTAATGGCAGCTCAACAATTTCTTTGCCTTGCCAGCTCTGCTGTCTGACACAACTCTTTCCATACATTTGTTAGAGCACCTAGTACTTGCTTTCTCATTTCATTAACCATTATTCCAGTCACTAACATATCCAGTCCCAGATACATGTGAAAAATGGCTCACTTCTGCCATTCTGCCTCCTTTCAGTTTAGCATTTGCATCTTTGTCTCCTTTCTCTGCACACTTCAATCCATTAGTATGAAAGTGAAAGATTTGTTGGTCAGAGAGCAGTTCAGGGCTTGCTTAGATGGCGTGAATGTATTGAGAGAATGGCAAGTGAAAGATTGATGTAAAAGTCAAAAGTTTTCTGTAGTAGGGAGAAGGGCAAACTAGGGAGTTGAAGGAAGGGGTGAAAGAAGTATGAGAAGCAAGAGAAATGGGCACCCAGGAAATGGGACAGTGCATAAATGATGAGAGAAATAGTTTATTGGAATGTCACAACATTAAGAGTGAAAGAAGAATGAAGGAAAGTATTTTTTTCTCTTGAAGCTGCTGCGTCTTCACTTTTTGTTTACCCATAAAAACAATTGGTATTTAGCTCTCCTGGCGATCTAAGCACATTTTAAGGTGGATGTCTTAGAAGGTTCATAGTGTAAAAAGTTCAGGTAGGAGAATAGAAGGCAGATGCGCTAATTCTTTCATCGCCAGACTTCAGTTTATATGTAATGTGTGCAATTATGAATTTATTTTTAACATCTTGATTCTTTTATGTTGAATATGATAATAGGATTGGTGTTGCTGTGTAGAAGCCTCAAACTTTTGTCATTTTTCTGCAAGGATATTATTTGAAGGCAAAGGGAATGTTTCCCCTGTAATGATTCACTTCAAATTGACCAATGTATGGAGAATCACAGTTCAACTGTTGAGTGAGAAGTGTGCTTTTCAGGTCTATCTGTCTCTTGCAATATTATTTAATTTAAAAAATGTATTATTTATACTTTATATTGTCAATGCAAATACAGTATTGGGTATTGTGAATCTTAATTTCAGTTTATTTTCTTATAGATTGATACTCTTTGATACATGACACTACCATTCACTGGGTTATCAACTGGACAGATAATTCATTAAATTTCATACAGTCTGTGGCTGATAATAATACACACTCCCTCCTTGCCTCAGGTAGCATTCCAAATTACAATACGATTTGGTGGCCCATTTAATTTTCAGGTTATGCTAATTAGCTAGGTCATTCCCTGACTTATTATTCATAGAGGTCAAAGTTATAAAAATAGGAGAATCAAATGTATTTTTTGCATGGTGTTCCTTTACTTTTCCCTTCAACATACCAGTGCCTGAATACTTGCAGCATATTAAGATTTTTCCCTTTACTTGAACCATTTCAGGGTATGCATCTTCACTTTGTTATCAGACTGGAAATTCCTGCTCATTCAGTCTCTTCTTTAGTGATTTGAGCTGTTGGAAATTTAAAGGAGCCAAATCAGAATTGTAGGTAAGAAGGAAAGGCATCCCACTTCAGATTCTGCAGTTTGACTGATATATACCTGATAGGGGCAGAAATTTTTATGAACTTTTGGTCTGTTAGTCAGGACTAGGATGGCCATCTCTCATCATACAATCTGGATTAGGCTTTCAGCAATTTATCTGTGGTTAGGCCGTTAAATGAACTCCTTGGTAGGCAGCAATTCCAGTCTATAGGTAAATAAAATCCATGCTCTGAAATTGGCTAGAAGAGGGGCAAAAACTTTTATGCTATCATCATTCAGGTACTAGTTTATTAAT